TATATGATAAATGCTCACTATCTTTAGGGCATAATTTCAGGGAAAGCATTTGAGTCCACGCACAGAGCTACAAGATTAGTTTGCAATCACAAATAGCTGTTTAAATGTGATACTATCACCACATCATACATTATTCCCACATGCCCCCATCTACTCCCTCCCTGACACCTACTTGATGGCTTTATTTTCCCCTCGACCTCTCACTGAATCTGGAGAGCTGGCAGCCTCCATCCCGGGCTTATTCCTCTTCCCCTGCAAAGACACGAGAGAGACAGAGAGAGTAAGAGGGACACACATCTTAGAGGCGTGTTTCTCATCGTTTATAAAGGCATCTGTGCAAGTCAAGTGTTCATTACTCAGGTTTTTAGAATAACATCAGGTTCCAACACATGTTGTAAAATGTAATAAATGAGGGAAGAGTGCACACTGGTTTGATGCCAGGGACCACTTAACTAAAATGAGATGCAAATACACAATCTCACATGCATGATACATGGGCAAAAATGTTTTCGCACACAAGAAGCACACACGCAGACACACACACACACAGCGCAGCTGCAGGCTACATCAGACTTAAAGTGAAATCAGACACATTAAGATAATGAGATAACTCAAGATTTCAAAACAGGAAGTCATTCGTGAAAGCCTTCGGAGGTGCCACCGCATTGTTTATTACAGCTGAAGCTGTAGTTACAGCATAGCCGGAGGGCCTGCACATATCACCACTGCGCCTATGCTGTGATGTGTGTCTCCTCAAAAAAATCAAAGTAGTTTTTGGGTCTACAACAGCTTTTGTTTTCTGAAAAAGCTTCCCGTGCTTGTGGAGATTGCTGTGGCATGTTTTGATAGTTAAGATTGAACAAATAAGTTAAATTCTCCATCGCTGCCAGGAAGAGTCAATAAAATGTAATGGAAATCTAACTGACATGCCTTTACTGTAGTGTCGCAGTAGGTGAAATCAGATGCTGGGCTGTACCATATATAAAAAAGCTGCGGGTCATGCAATTAAACCTCGGCATCGAAAAAATCTGTGATATGATATGAAAGAATGATATGTCAGATCTTATATAAAAGGGAAAAACACACATTTACAGACTGGAAATCTAAAGGGTTTCCTCTCAAACCGAAAACAGCTGCTTTTTAAGGTGAAGCCAGCTCATTTGGGAGACGGTGAAATTCTAACCGGGCAACGTAACTGCATACATTGCTGCTGCGATGGCTTATAAACCGTATCTTACCTACTCTGTGCAAATATTTTCTACTTAATGGATAGTGCTTTCAGCAAAGCAATATACAGTAGTTACAGTTATTGACCTCTATGTTTTATTGAACTCTGTATTTATTAAACTCTTGGGGGTGATAACACTGAGCTCTTTCCCGCTGAGTCACACCGACTCTCGCTTCTTACATAATGTTTTTCCATTATAAGCTCACGACAACGACATGAGGTGCACATATGTAATAAAATGTCCACCAAATAGGCAAGACATAAAATTGCTGTTAGACTTTTTTATGTTTGCTTTGAGGCAAATTACATGTTGGACTCGTTCCTATTTGAAGATTTCAGCTACATTACCATCTGTTGCTGTAATTAATTATCCACAAAATCAACTTGACATGCGTTTTAATTACATATGCATATTTTCATAAAAAATATATACCAATCCTCTCTACGGACTATTAATAAGAATATCGCACCATGCCGGGGGGGTAAAAAACTCAAACTTGAAATGTGGTGGTGACATTTTAAATTTAACATTAATTTCGCAAATGCTGACTAATTGAGTGTTGAAGGGCAGGTATTTATATTATTTTAATCTTTTTCTCGTTTTCTTGCTTTTTCTCAGTGTGTCTCTTAGAAGCTGTTTGAGGCTGAAGTTGTGACGTGATTCCTTCCTGCACTCTCGTCACAGCTTCGACAAACAAAGGTGAATTTTAATGTCAGGCCGAGAGAAAAGCAGCCATAGTGGTGTTGCTTGAACACAAACATTATATTGTGTACTACTTGTACTTTTCCTGCTGTTTGAGGGACCCTACAAATGTAGAAAACATACAAATTTAAAAGCCGGCTGAGCAGTGAGTTCACACCCAGGGCAGACATACTGCTAGTGACACACTTAACAGCTACTCGTCCCGCAGCCATGTAGGTAACATAAAGAAATGATGAGGACTGTCTGACATCAGGATTTGCTGTGCTGCTCTTCCTTACATTATATGTACACATCATCCACAGTGGATTTTAATTCAAACAATAAAGATGTGGCTAAAGTGCAGACTGTCATCTTTAAGAGAGGAAACAAATGCTGTGTTTCCTCCCTTGAGTTGCTTTGCCAGGCTTTAACTGTAACATCCCATTTGTTTTAGGTTGACAAACTCTTGGGTTGCTTTTGCAGTATGCTTTGGGTCATTAGCCATATGACTGTGAAGTGCAGCCAATCAGTTTTACAGCATTTGTCTGAATCTGAGCAGAGAGCATGGCCCTGTACTCTTCAGAAATCATCCTGCTACTTCTATCTGCAGTCATATCATACATGGTTGTTTCATAAGACTGCCTGCACCATGTTTGACAGATGATGTGGTATGCTTCAGATCAATAGCTGTTTTCTTCTCTAGACTTCTCTCTTCTCATCCTTCTGGTACAAATTACTCTTGGTTGCATCTGTCTAAAGATTATTATTATTAAAAGTCTAATCTGGCCTTCTTGTTCTTGAGTGTAACCAGTGGTTTGCACCTGTTATTCTAAACCCTCTGTATTTCTATTACATGAAGTGTTGTGAATTTGTCTTTTTTCTTTCAGTTGTCTTTCTTGGAAATATTTCAAGAAATGGAAAAAAGGTTTCTGGCACAAGTTTAGCTACTTGTAAGTGTAATATATTCGTGTCATCATCCATCCTTTAGCCTATGATTGCTTCCTTCACTTGTTTAAACATCTCTTTGGATCTCATATTGAGTGAAAAGACACCAAACACAAGTTCAACACTTGGAGCTTGAGCTCTTTTATCTACTTAATTTGAACAAGCCTCAACTTAGCTAATTATAGGCCAATCTCCAACCTTCCTTTCCTATCGCTTGTCCTGCTAGACTTCAGTACAGCGTAGGGCTGGGCCATATCATACCATTCACGGTAATACTGGTATAATATTGAGCAACGATAAGAAAATGAAATATCGCGATAGAATATGGGTAAAACGCGCATGCGCAGTGCCTTTGT